TAAACACACACACAGAGGCACAAAATTTTGTGTACAATCTCAAGTTTCCTAGATCTCCTAAAGTCCATCCATGATTATCCTGGTGACTTAATGGACCCAGGCTGGGATCACCTAATTTTTTAAAAATTCAAAAGTACCTGAAGCCTAGAGTGAGTTCAGCATGATGACAGGACTGAGTGACTTGCTTAACAAAGTACTTATGGCAAGTTAGGACCCAAACCTGTATCTCCTGACTCCTAATTAAATGCTATTTCCACAGTATCTTTTGTTCTTGTCTTCCATTCTGTTGGTGACAAAAGAGAATGATACTTTCTTAATATTTAGTGAAATATTTATTAAACCATTTTCACACAAATATTTGCAAGTAATTCTTTCTCACAAAACTTTAATGCTTGTCATTATTTATATGATAATAGCTACCAAGATGAATTAGGAAAATAGTCTCTTTTTTTTGCTTGTAGTGTCACAGTTTTTAATCAAATAGTCTTTGGTGTACAAGAATTCATAGACTGTGCCCTCAGATTGGGTTATGATAAACTCACCATAACTACTATCTAAATGAATTTTTTAGGAACACTGACAACATTCTGAAAATTATTCTAATTTTAGTCTCATCTTTATCCAGACAAGTCTAGTCCTTGGGGGAAAAAAAAAAAATGGGATGGAGACATGGTTTGGGATTTTTTGGAGTTTGGTGTTTGGTTTTCCCAGATGCCCCAAATTAAACTAACTCACACTTTCTGGCTGGCTATCACTCAAACGGGGTTGACTTTGCTACTGCTTTCCCAGATCCTTCTAAAAACTAAAGGATTTCCTTCTGGCATTTTAATCAGTGATTAACTACTCCCTTCTTTTTCCTGCTGAGTTAACTAAAAGATCCATATGCTGGGTGCTCTAGGAAATTTGTTAGGCTGTAGATCACAGCCATGGTGCAAGACATGATGTGTCTCAAGGGAACTAAAGAAGCCATAAGGAATGTAAAAAGTCACCGGGTTAAAGCCACATTAGGACAGCTGTTACATTAATGAGGGCCCTGCTTTGGATAGGAGGTCACTGTATAGAAAAATATGAACCTCTCTTTATTGGTTTGATCCCATGTCCTCTGAAAGTTAATGGGCCATTCTTGTTATCCTTTGGCATTCATTGAGCCAGATGAGAATGGTGGGTACTGTACATGGGCTTGAAATTTATTCTGTCCTCACTCTTGTTTTTGACAGAGGCAGCGATGAAACAGAGCAACATGGAATACTCTGCAGGTTTTCATCACCTTCCTGTCTGAGTTCCTTAAAATAAATGTTTATGTTTTGAGGCACATTCAATGTAGAGCTGATATTCAACCTATCTTGAGAACAGATCCAGGCAGCGCCTGTGTCTCAGTGGGTAGGGTGCCGGACCCATATACTGAGGGTGGCGGGTTTGAACCCGGCCCTGGACAAACTGCAACAAAAAAATAGCCGGGCATTGTGGTGGGCACCTGTAGTCCCCGCTACTTGAGTGGGAGGCTGAGGCAAGAGAATCGCCTAAGCCCAAGAGATGGAGCTTGCTGTGAGCACTGTACCGAGGGTGACAAAGTGAGACTCTGTCTATTAAAAAAAAA